GGAGATGGGGGGGGGACGAGGGGTGTCACATGGTGACCAGGAAAATAATCACCCAATGGTTAAAAGATAATCACCCAATTGTTCATATGTGGTCAATTGGGAACAGCATAATTAGTACTATGCATTTATTTATATAAGGAAGATTGATATAGGCTAATTCAATTTACAATAAGATATGCCAAGGTGATGCAGAATTTGTGTTTATCACCTAATCTATAATAGATTACACCTACTTGTTAGAGTTATTTGTATTAATACACTTTAGAAAATTAAAACTATTAAATATAAGCTGTGGACGACGTGCCCTGCTGTGGACACAGAGGGACTGATGCAATGGCCGACATATTTGTTGGCCGCGGTCCACAGGTCCAGAGGTGTAACTTAACACTTGCCCGGGGCAAGTGAATATCATGACGGGCAAGTAAACGTTTTATCTTGCTTGCCCGATTGGGCAAGTTGCCTTCCCACAAAGAGCTGGGCATCTTTAAGTTTATGTTTTGCTTGCTGGATATAAATTGTATTCAGGACAACTAATTTTCATGTCCAACTTGCCCTCGCAAGCGGTCAAAAAAGTAATGTTACACAGCTGAACTTGTTAACCAGCTTGCTACATATACCTATTGCAAACACATCTTGTTTACAAGTTGTTGGAACAGCCTTGTCACAACTTTGTTAACAAGCTTCTTACAAACCTATTGCAGACAAATCTTGTTGACAAGTTCTTGAAACAGCATTGTTACAACTTGTTAACAAGCTTCATACCAACCTATCGCAACAAATCATTTTGACAAGTTGTTGGAACAGCATTGTCACAACTTGTTAACAAGCTTGCTACAAGCTGTTAAGAACACCTCTTGTTGACAAGTTGTTGGAACAACATTGTCACAACTTGTCAACAACCTTGCTACAAACCTATTGCAAACACATTTTGTTGACAGGTTGTTGGAATAGCATTGTTACAACCTGTTAACAAGCTTGCTACAAGCTTGTTGAGAACGCATCTTGTTGACAAGTTGTTTTAACAGCATTGTAACAACTTGTTAACAAGCTTGCTACAAACCTGTTGCGAAAAGACTTGTTGACAAGTTTTTGGAACATTATTGTTACAACTTGTTAACAAGCTTGCTACAAGCTTGCTACAAGCTTGCTACAAGCCTGTTGAGAACACATCTTGTTGACCAGTTGTTGGAACAGCATTCTCACAACTTGTTAACAAGCTTGCTACAAACCTATTGCAAACAAATATTGTTGATAAGTTGTTGGAACAGTGTTGTCACAAGCTTGGTACAAGCCTGTTGAGGAGCCATCTTGTTCACAAGTTGTTGGAACAGCATTGTCACAACTTGTCAACAACCTTGCTACAAACCTATTACAAACACATTTTGTTGCCAAGTTGTTGGAACAGCATTGTCACAACCTGTTAACAAGTTTGCTACAAGCTTGTTGAGAACACATCTTGTTGACAAGTTTCTTGAACAGCATTGTTGACAAGTTGTTGGAACAGCATTGTCACAACTTGTTAACAAGCTTGCTACAAGCTTGCTACAAGCTTGTTGAGAACACGTCTTCTTGACAAGTTTTTGGAACAGCATTGTCACAACTTGTTAACAAGCTTGCTACAAGCCTGTTGAGAACACATCTTGTTGACTAGTTCTTGGAACAGCATTCTCACAACTTGTTAAGAAGCTTGCCACAAACCTATTGCAAACAAATGTTGTTGATAAGTTGTTGGAACAGTGTTGTCACAACTTGTTACCAAGCTTGGTACAAGCCACTATACAAGCTTGGTGCAAGCCTGTTGAGGAGACATCTTGTTCACAAGTTGTTGGAACAGCATTGTCTCAACTTGTTAACAAGCTTGCTACAAGTTTGTTAAGAACACATAATGTTGACAAGTTGTTGGAACAGCATTGTCACAACTTGTTAACAAGCTTGCTACATACCTATTGCATACACATTTTGTTGACAGGTTGTTGGAACAGCATTGTCACAACCTGTTAACAAGCTGTCTACAAGCTTGTTGAGAACACATCTTGTTGACAAGTTGTTTTAACAGCATTGTCACAACTTGTTAAAATAACAAGCTTGCTACAAACCTTTTGCGAAATGTCTTGTTGACAAGTTTTTGGAACATCATTGTTACAACTTGTTAACAAGCTTGGTACAAGCCTGTTGAGAACACATCTTGTTGACTAGTTGTTGGAACAGCATTGTCACAACTTGTTAAGAAGCTTGGCACAAGCCACTATACAAGCTTGGTGCAAGCCTGTTCAGGAGACATCTTGTTCACAAGTTGTTGGAACAGCATTGTCTCAACTTGTTAACAAGCTTGCTACAAGTTTGTTAAGAACACATATTGTTGACAAGTTGTTGGAACAGCATTATCACGACTTGTTAACAAGCTTACTACATGTAAATCTGTTGCAGAGACATCTTGTTCACACGTTGTTGGAACAGCATTATCACAACATGTTAACAAGCTTGCTACATGTAAATCTGTTGCAGAGACATCTTGTTGACAAGTTGTTGCAACAGCATTGTCACAACCTGTTAACAAGCTTGCTAGAAACCTATTGCAAACACATTTTGTTGCCAAGTTGTTGGAACAGCATTGTCACAACTTGTTAACAAGTTTGCTACAAGCTTGTTGACAACACGTCTTGTTGACAAGTTTTTACAAAAGCATTGTCACAACTTATTAACACGCTTGCTACAAACCTATTGGAAACACATGTATCTTGTTGACAAGTTGTTGGAACAGCATTCTCACAACTTGTTAACAAGCTTGCTACAAACCTTTTACAGACACATCTTATTGACAAGTTGTTGGAACAGCATTGTCACAACTTGTTAAAATAACAAGCTTGCTACAAACCTTTTGCAAAATGTCTTGTTGACACGTTTTTGGAACATCATTGTTACAACTTGTTAACAAGCTTGCTACAAGCTTGTTGAGAACACATCTTGTTGACTAGTTGTTGGAACAGTGTTGTCACAACTTGTTAAGAAGCTTGGCACAAGCCACTATACAAGCTTGGCACAAGCCTGTTGAGGAGACATCTTGCTCACAAGTTGTTGGAATAGCATTGTCACAACTTGTTAACAAGCTTGTTGACAACACGTCTTGTTCACAAATTTTTGCAAAAGCATTGTCACAACTTATTAACAAGCTTGCTACAAACCTATTGGAAACACATGTATCTTGTTGACAAGTTGTTGGAACAGCATTCTCACAACTTGTTAACAAGCTTGCTACATGTAAATCTGTTGCAGAGACATCTTGTTGACAAGTTGTTGCAACAGCATTGTCACAACTTGTTAACAAGTTTGCTACAAGCTTGTTGAGAACACGTCTTGTTGACAGGTTTTTGGAACAGCATTGTCACAACTTGTTACAGCATTGTCACAACTTGTTAACAAGCTTGCTACAAACCTATTGCAAACACATCTTGTTGACAAGTTGTTGGAACAGCATTGTCACAACTTGTTGACAAGCTTGTTGACAACACGTCTTGTTGACAAGTTTTTGTAAAAGCATTGTCACAATTTATTAACAAGCTTGCTACAAACCTATTGGAAACACATGTATCTTGTTGACAAGTTGTTGGAACAGCATTCTCACAACTTGTTAACATGCTTGCTACAAACCTTTTACAAACATATCTTATTGACAAGTTGTTGGAACAGCATTATCACAACTTGTTAACAAGCTTGCTACATGTAAATCTGTTGTAGAGACATCTTCTTGACAAGTTGTTGGAACAGCATTATCACAACTTGTTAACAAGCTTGCTACAAATCTGTTGCAAACACATCTTGTTGACAAGTTGTTGGAACAGCATTGTCTCAACTACTTGTTATCAAGCTTGCTACAGGCTTGTTAAGAACACATATTGTCGACAAGTTGTTGGAACAGCATTGTCACAACTTGTTAACAAGCTTGCTACATGTAAATCTGTTGTAGAGACATCTTGCTACATGTAAATCTGTTGTAAAGACATCTTGTTGACAAGTTATTGGAACAGCATTGTCTCAACTTGTCAACAAGATGTGTTCTTAACAAACTTGTAGCAAGCTTGTTAACAACATTGTCACAACTTGTCAACGACCTGGCTATAAACCTATTGCAAACACAGTTTGTTGACATGTTGTTGGAACAGCATTGTCACAACTTGTTAACAAGCTTGTTAACAACACGTCTTGTTGACAAGTTTCTGGAACAGCATTGTCACAACTTGTTAACAAGCTTGCTACAAGCTTGTTAAGAACACATATTGTCGACAAGTTGTTGGAACAGCATTGTCACAACTTGTTAACAAGCTTGCTACAAACCTATTGCAAACCAATGTTGTTGACAAGTTGTTGGAACAGTGTTGTCATAACTTGTTAACCAGCTTGGTACAAGCCTGTTGAGGAGACATCTTGTTCACAAGTTGTTGGAACATCATTGTCACAACTTGTCAACAACCTTGCTACAAATCTATTGCAAACACATTTTGGTGACAAGTTGTTGGAACAGCATTGTCACAACTTGTTAACAAGCTTGCTACAAGCCTGTTGAGAACACATCTTGTTGACTAGTTGTTGGAACAGCGTTATCACAACTTGTTAATTAACAAGCTTGCTACAGACCTATTGCGAAAAGTCTTGTTGACAAGTTTTTGGAACATCATTGTTACAACTTGTTAACAAGCTTGCTACAAGCCTGTTGAGAACGCATCTTGTTGACTATAGTTGGTGGAACAGCATTCTCACAACTTGCTAGAAGCTTGCTGCAAACCTATTGCAAACAAATCTTGTTGATAAGTTGTTGGAACAGTGTTGTCACAACTTGTTAACAGGCTTGGTACAAGCCTGTTGAGGAGACATCTTTTTCACAGGTTGTTGGAACAGTATTGTCACAACTTTCATTGCCACAACTGTAACTTAACACTTGCCCGGGGAAGTGAATATCATGACGGGCAAGTGAATATCATGAGGCGTAAAAAAATACCTGTGGTTCCGGTTTCATATCGCGAAAAAATTAGGGTCGGTAAATCGGAAATAATTTTTTTTTTGAATATGTTTTCATGGTTTTTTCAATAATTAGTGTGACAACAGACGCCATTTTGGCAGCAACCCGCATCCACCCGGAGAAAATAGGGTCGCACGGTCAACCGCGCTGAAAAAATGATAGGGTCGGCAGAAAAAAATAGGGTCGGTCGGGAACCGGAACCACAGGTATTTTTTTTTTACGCCTGACGGGCAAGTAAACGTTTTATCATGCTTGCCCGGTTGGGAAGTTGCCTTGCCACAAAAACCTGGGGGCATCTTTAAGTTTATGTTTTCATTGTCGGATATAAATTTTTTATGGTGCATGTACATGATTCAAATTTTGTTTTTCGTGGGCCAATGCTAGATCTGAGGCATTATAAAATAGCCATATAGAGCAGTGGGAGAACGGGTCGATATGTTGTCCCCTTAAATTATACTCCGTACCTAGGTACCCCCAGTGGCCACTCCGTACCTTATACTCCGCACCTAGGTACCCCAGTACCCCAGTGGCCTATTCAGGGCAACTAATTTTCATGTCCAACTTGCGCTAAGGCAAGTAGTCAAAAACAGTAAAGTTACACCACTGAGGTCTGGGGGTATTACCCCCTGGAAAATTATGAAATTTAGTACCTCGATAACATGATTTCCTGTGTTTTGAGCACTACAACTTACTGTTCTAATTTCCAGATTGAAAAATCTGCTGAATTTTTCATATAAACATACATAAACGATTTGGACTTATACCGGAATCAACATATTTATGTAACTAATATTTATTTTAACTGTTATAATTAGGTTTTCTATAAAATATATGCAACACCCCCAAAATAACACAAAAAGTTCTTGTTGCCCACCGCCCCTTCTAAAAGTGTTCTTAAGGAAAATATGACCCCTCCCCCATTTCCAACTTGCCCTCCACCCTCCTGTGTTAATTAAAAATCCTCCATAATTAAAAATATGGCAAACTCTAGTGACCCCCAGAAAGGATTGTCTCTGTTGGTCCATGAAGGCAGGTGTATCAGGCCTGCAAATAGTTATTTCGCTTGGAAGGAAAAATGTCCGGACACGACAAAAACTGTTCAAACATTTGTCAGTTTTTGTTGGACACTGGACAAAATAATTGTTTGAGAATGGACAACTTGCATGTTAGACTAAATTTTAATCTAAGTAAAGAAAGAACATAATGAAATTAGTAAAATTGCAAAATATGGTTGCGAAATGTTGTAAAGATTGGAAAATATAGTCTTGCAAAGTTTTTTTACGTGCGTAAATTGTTACCATTTTCGGCTCAAAAATGGTAACAATTTCCGCACGTAATACAAACATATACAAAATATGCAAACTTCGCAAGGCTACATTTTCCGTATTTTACAACATTTCGTAACCAAATTTTGCAATTTTACTAATTTTAATAAGTTCTTTACGGGAATTTACTTTTTTTGCCTAGATCAAAAATTAGCCTAACATGCAAGTTGTCTATTAGGCCATGATGTATTTCGGCTGGTCATATTAGACATGCTCGTCTGTGCTGAAATGCATTTAGAAGTGCATGTGTTTATATCTATCAGTTCTAACGGAGCCAGTTACGATGTTAGATCCACTGATATGTTGGACACCCTTGGTTGGGAAACACTTAATTTAAGAAAATCGCGAAATAAATAAATATTAATGTATAAAATACTGAAGACCACACTGCCCCAAATCTAAACGATTTGTGCCGCAAAAAAAAAGTATGTCAGAAATAGCGAAACAGATTTAGCCCTTCCAAAACCTAAACTGAATTTCTAAGGTTGAGATCCTTTGGGTACAGTGGTGCCATTTTGTGGAATTTGACTACCCAGTGTTCTCAAAAATTACAAAATTGTTTTGCATCGGCATTGTTAAGGCGGCTTCTCGCCAACTTATATAAGCGCAGACCTCTTTAATTAACATTACTCCATAAAGCAACTAGTTTAACGTTTTATCCCCAATTCCGCATTTTATCCCCATTCCAGTTTCCGCAATTCCGGATCCGCGTTTTACCCAAACCAATCATGAGGTTTATTTGGGGTCCTATTAGTATGTGTCCTCTGAAATTTTCTAGATCAAAATTTTGTTCATTAGGTAATAGGTCCATATCTCATAAGTGAACGTAAAGTATCGCTAATAGTGTACTTACAGTTCTTCCTTTCAATTACTGATATTTATATATTTTTTATCTTAGTTCATGATGTGACATCTCAATCGGTCATTTATGTATCCAGAGCGAAGGGTAATGATAGCACATCATGTGGATCCCAGTACTTTCCGTGTTATTCTATATCACGGGCTGTTTCTCAAGTACAGTTTGGATCATCTATTTTTCTTGATTCCACCAACACCACAATGTCTCCATATGATTGCCTACCTCTGACGTCACATTACAAGGGAATATACGTCATCACGACTTTGTCTTTTGTTGGTGGACCATCACTCGCTCATGTTTCATGTAGAAAAGGACTGAATTGGATAGTTAACGGTACTGATAGTGCAATCGCAATAGAAGTAAACTTTACTGGAATTGCTTTCCAAAATTCCCGGCTTCATTTTATCGAGACGTCTGCTACTGTAACCCACTGTGTATTTTCCAATACAGAAAATCCTGTTGTGAACTTTACTGTCTTACATCGAAATCAAACAAGTTTGTCGTTTCAAAATGTTCTTTTTGAGAGCAATGTGGCTTGCATATCAATGACTAGCAGTTCTGTAAATACTGAAAATATGCTGTTTATCAGCATCCACATAAGGAACTCTGTCTTCAACAACAACGGCCCGAGGCGTTTCCCATTTTTGCCACCATCTTGGACCATTCTTGGCGTAGATACTTCAGGAACGCACTTTCTTGACATACGGATAAAGAACTCAAGTTTCCAAGGCAATTATGTTCGTTCTTCAGGTATGATTTCCGTGAAGAATCAACCTGGTCATACCAAGTTTCTAATCCAAGATGTTGCCTTTATTGAAAACGGCTTACATGACACCGGAGCAAGAAACAGCTTGTTTATGTTAAGTAGTTCCATCATATCTTTAGTTATTTCAAAGTCACAAGTGAAGAAAAGCAAACAGCGGCTTTTATCCATGTATTCTACGTGGACAGAGATCAATGTTTCTCACACGACTGTGGATGATTTTATCAACTCTTGGCCAGATGGCGGGACTTTTCATATAGAAAGTAATATAATGAAGTTGTTGATCAAATATTGTTTGTTCAGTAATGGTAAATCCAATCCTGGTCATGGCGGGCTGCTTTTTGTTTCTGCGCGTAATACAAGCATTCTTATTGAAAATTCCATTTTAACCAATTTGACAACAGCGGGTTATGGTGGTGTCATATATGCAACGGCCAGGCAAAATGTTGCAGCTTCAATGAAGTTGAATACAACAAATTCAAGTTTTGTCTCAAATGGGGCAACGCAAGGAGGAGTTATATATTTACATCAAGAAGCCACATCACAGGAAGCCACATCACCATTCTTTGTTCAAGTGTTTATCCAGAACTCATTGTTCGAGGGAAACACTGCTTCTACAGGAGGATGCGTAAGTGTACAAGGTGTCGAATTTCTGCTGACTGGAAAGAATGTAACGTTCACTGGAAATAGTGCAGGAGGACCAGGAGGGGTCATGAACTTAATCGGAGCAGGTGTAATGCGCGTAAGCGTTTCACATGTCTTATTCAAGGAAAATTCCGCTATGGCAGGACCAGGAGGTGTGTTTTATGTGACAGCACCACAGAGTTCTAATGACAATAGTTCATTTTTTAATTTAACAGCGAGTCACGTACAGTTTGTAGGAAACAGTGCGGGTGTGCCAGGTGGAGTTTTATACATAGAACTTGGTTTTAGATCGATATTAATTTTTAACGACGTTGTTTTTCTAAAGAATACTGCAGAGGCTGCCGGCCCAGGCGGTGCAATTTATGCGACAGGAGATGGGAATATGTATCCTTCCTTTCAAATCTTAATAAAGCGAGGAAGGTTTGAAAACAATACTGCTCTCGTGGGTGGAGCCATTTATGTGCAAAGGACGAGTAATGCGGAGTTCACGAGTGAAGATTCGATCTTTCGCTCCAATGTTGCTTACCTTCCAGGCGGAGCGTTGTATTTGCAAATGTTGAACTCTACGATAACTCTAGTCAATACAACATTCTCTAACAATACAAGTGTTAGACAAGCAGGTGGTGCAGTCTATCTGGATATTAGTGATGAAAGCAAGGTTCATATCGCTCTTGCCAAATTTGAACGAAATTACGCATTGCATTCGTTTGGCGCAGGGCTTGCAATATCCACGTCTGGCGATACATTACGTGAATCTGGTTGCAGCGGAAAAACATGGCGTGCATGGAACTACAACAACTATGTTGAAATAAAAAACACGCACTTTAAAAACAACGTTGCTGCTCGCGGAGGAGCTCTATCGATGACAGATGGAAGTGTTAATTTTATTAATTGTACTTTCCTCGATAATTTTGCTTCAAATCTTGAGGGGGATCACCTCATTAACTACGGCACAAATAATTTAAATCTGACTGACTGCACATTCCGCCAGACACGCGACGTGTTCTCGTCTTTCATACAGACGTATAGTGCGGGACCGTTGGTGTTGACTAATACTACTATAGATCAACAAGCATCAAGGAGCAGTATAACTTTAACAATGGTTTCCAAAGGTGGACTAGTAGAGTTCAATGATTTCACATCAATCGTTTGCCCATCAGGAATGTTTGTTTCGAAGTTGAACCTATCGTACAATGATTGGATAAATAGTTCCTGCTCTTTAGATGTCACTGTACTTCGTCTACAATGTAAGGAATGTGAACGCGGTACGTATAGCTTACAACGAGGGTGCACGGAAGGATTAAGGATTGTCAATGATTTTGCATGTCTGTCGTGTCCTCATGGAGCTGAATGTCTTCCCACAATTAAGTCGAAAACAAATTTTTGGGGTTATTTGATTGACGACAGTCCACCAGCCTTAAATTTCACTCTCTGCCCGGATAGCTATTGTCTCCCAGGTACGCAGAACCCAGACGGTTATAACAGTTGCTATGGGAAGCGCGAAGGTTGGATGTGTGGTCGTTGTGCACCTGGATACAGTGAAACATTATTTTCAACCGCTTGTAAAAGATCAGAAGACTGTAATGACAACTGGTTTTGGCTAGTGTTTCTTGCACTTGTATTTATAATGGCTTCTTTTCTTGTTTTTAAACCACCTATTGTCACCTTTGCTGCAAAACATGCATTCTGGTTCAAAAACTGTGTAACGAAAAAACCAGAGAGTGTCATCATGGACGAAACCGAGTCATTAGCATCGCTAAGAGTGGAGGGAAATGAATCTACGTTTCTGTTGTCTACTGAGGAAATTGAAAACGAAAAGTTACAAGCTGTTGGTTATCTGGAAATCATATTTTATTTCTATCAAATTTCAAACTTGCTGCTTACTTCCACCTCAATAGAGAAACTATTAAAAGCTAAAGTATTAATTCCTGTTCAAGGATTTTTCAATTTTCAGGAAAGATATTTAGTGCATCAAATTTGTCCATTTTCTGGACTGACTGCCGAAACAAAACAACTTTTTGAGGTTGCACCCGTGTTTGGAACACTGGGAGCGATATATTTCATCTACGTTCTGCATTACGTTCTGTGTAAAATTTCGCGAACTGCAACTCCGACTGTTGGACATTATTTGGGGGCTACCATGGAAACGATGTTGCTGGAGTATATTAAAATCGCTAACGTGAGTCTCTCACTGATTCGTTGTGTGCCTGTTGGGTCTGAAAGTCGTTGGTTTTACAATGGAACAATTGTTTGCTACCAGTGGTGGCAAATTGTTTTGATTGCTTTTGATGTGGTCGTTGTTGTACCTTTTATATTTGTCTTGGCCTGGGGTGCAGTAAAATTACAGCGTGGGAAGGTGTCAGCGAGACATTTCCTACTCGCCTGTGTGTTTCCACTTCCGTTCCTAATCTTATGGCTTCTGCAGTCATCAGGTTTCTGTGGTAATCAACATGATGATCAGCACGCGCAGAATACTGAGTATACCGAAGCGTTAAAAGCTGTACTACTCGCACCGTTCCGAGTGCCTGAAGCAGAGAAAAGTGGCGCACTCTATTGGGAGAGCATTTTCATTGTTCGACGTTTTATCTTGGTATTTTTATATTGTTTTATTACCGACTCAA